TTTTTTTATTTTAAGTATATCAATTAAGCTGGGTATTTAATTTAAAGGTCTTATTTTTAGTGTTAAATGTTGCCTCAAACTGATTAACATACAACTAATGCTTGATTAACCAAACTGTTTTTCTGTGTTTTTCTTGTTTTTCATCCCGATCGCACACCAAACATACACACAATTCTGTACACATACATGCGTTAAATGTTCCACCATCCACAAACACATACCAACATCATGTCGACACATTGAATTCATCACTGGGCATCAATCATCGCTGCGCGCTTCCCTACGCTGCAACCGCGCCTATGATTTTGACTCATTCACTCATATCCGCTCGCTCACGCGCTCCCTTTCTCACGCTCTTAATCGATGTTGCGCGTACAGTTATCGATAACACGCGAAGTCACACGCTACATGGAACCCGGTCATTGGTTCGTCTCGCTATATAACGATGATGGCGATGCCCAAGAGGTCGCCTTCTATGCCGCCATTGCCGAAGATATGACACAGAACTGCCCGAATGGCTGCTCCGGCAATGGGCAATGCTTGCTCGGACATTGTCAATGCAATCCCGGCTTTGGTGGCGACGACTGCAGCGAGAGCGTATGCCCAGTGCTGTGCTCACAACATGGCGAATATATCAATGGCGAATGTATTTGTAATCCGGGTTGGAAGGGAAAAGAATGCTCGCTGCGTCACGATGAATGCGAAGTGGCCGACTGCAATGGACATGGTCACTGCGTGAGCGGCAAGTGCCAATGCATGCGCGGTTATAAGGGAAAATTCTGTGAGGAAGGTAATGACCGAAGATTTGCTAGAGAATTTTTGCACTTAAGTGAGAGCGAAACCCCAAAGTATCGCGGCGTTTTACAGCAGCTCATTGACCGCTTTTAAATTCTTAAATTTTCTCTTCTTTCATCCCGCTCTAGTTGACTGCCCGCATCCAAACTGCTCGGGACATGGCTTCTGCGCTGATGGCACTTGTATTTGCAAGAAGGGTTGGAAGGGTCCCGACTGTGCGACTATGGATCAAGATGCGCTACAATGCCTGCCCGATTGCTCTGGCCATGGCACCTTCGATTTGGACACGCAGACATGCACCTGCGAACCGAAATGGAGTGGCGACGATTGCTCGAAAGAATTGTGCGATTTGGATTGTGGTCAACATGGCCGCTGCGTCGGCGATGCCTGCACCTGCGATCCCGATTGGGGTGGCGAGTATTGCAATACGAAGCTCTGTGATACGCGTTGCAATGAGCATGGGCAGTGCAAGAATGGCACTTGCCTGTGTGTGACCGGCTGGAATGGCAAGCACTGCACCATCGAGGGTTGCCCGAATGGCTGTTCGTCGCATGGCCAGTGTCGTGTGAGCGGCGAGGGACAATGGGAGTGTCGCTGTTACGAAGGCTGGGATGGACCCGACTGCGGCATAGCGCTCGAACTGAACTGTGGCGATAGCAAGGACAATGACAAAGGTGAGTAAAGGCAGATTAATTGCAGATTCTGGTTTAATTGTTTGTTTTTTTTCGATCATAGATGGTCTCGTCGACTGCGAGGATCCCGAGTGCTGTGCCAGCCATGTCTGTAAGACGTCGCAGCTATGCGTATCCGCACCGAAACCGATCGATGTGTTGCTAAGGAAGCAACCGCCAGCCATTACCGCTTCTTTCTTCGAACGCATGAAATTCTTAATTGATGAGAGCAGCCTGCAGAATTATGCGAAACTCGAGACTTTCAATGAAAGGTTTGTTCAAATGTGTTTGCCAATTTGTGCACTTAATTTTATATAATTTCTATTCGGTTTCAAAATTAGTTACATATGTTCATCAGAAACTAGAAAAAAATAATAATTCAAGCAACATGCAATTGGCGAAATATTTTCGTTTGTTTAAAAAAAAAAAAAAAAAAAAAATACTGCATTGACCAAAAACCTGATTTTTGAATGTATATAGTGTATATAAATATCCGGATAGACACAAAAGATTGCAGTTAATGCATATAATAATAACTAGTTTGCCTTTTTTCAGTTCTTAAATTTTGATCTTTTTAAGTTATCGTGCCCTTGTCTCAAAATTCCCATCCTCAAAATAATATTCCATACATGTGAAAAAAGTGAAACGTCAATTATGTGTAAATAATCCCCACTGTTTGTCTTTTGTTATTGCACCTGAAAAAACACCCCAAAAATAGGTAACAAAATTTTAAAGTTTTTACAAAAACAAAATTAAACTGTAAGTGCGCGCAATAATTGCGCCGACCAGGCGTCGCTTGCTAAATTATAGATTTAAAACAATTAATGTTAAAATCAAATCTTCTAGGTTTACATACATATATATTTTTGTGAAATATTTCTAATGTCACGTGTCTTAGTTTTTGTGTTTTGAAAAAAAAAATCAAAAACAAACAAATTTTTCAACGTATCCAATCATCAATTCAAAGCTAATGCAATTAATTTTCTCTACTCTTTTCTCTTCTCTTACACGCGCGCCCTCAAACTACTACCAAAAAAAAATACTACTACTAACCTACTACCAACATCACTACTACCAATACTACTACTACTACTACTACTGCGAACACATAACCAATTTTACTAATAATTCGATTTGTTCGATTCAAATGCATTCGATTTGCATACCTTTCGGCATTTTTCGATTCGCCCAAAATAAAAAACTACAAAAAATTTCAAAACAAACAAATCGTAACAAAAAAATCCATATCGAAATTCATTAAACACTAACAGCATTTTTTGGAATTATTTCAATGCAAGGTAAGCAAAAGCTAAAGCGCTCAAACTAAAATAACTAACTTAAAAATACTCTTTAAAACAATTCGATGGTTGTTTGATGCTTTTCGTCTTTGGTTTAATCAGTTTTGTAAATTTGCATTTTATATAATAGTGATTTTCTAAATTTTTCTTTTCTATGGAATTTCACTCATTTTAATATTAGTTTTTGCTTTGCTCTTTTTCTTATTTAATTTATAATTTTTTTTTAAGTTCTGCTTTATTAAGGTCGAAAAATCTTGCTTTGATTTTGTTTATCATTTTGGTAACCTTATTTTTTTCAAAATCTTTTGAAGCTATAACAATCTCATTTTCATTTCATTTTTTCGTATGAAACTATTATTTAACTTTTTCAATATCTGTTCCAATACCGAATTTCCACTAGGCATTGAAACGACGAAAAATGTGTGCCATTTAAAAAATGTCATGTGGAAACGAATTTAATGACAATTTTTCTTAATGCAATGGCACAGGTATTTTTTAATGCCCAAATTTGTCATTAAAATTTTTACAATTCAATGCCTAGTGGAAATCCGGCATAAGTCTACCACTTTAATGCTACATAAATCATATTCTCTTTTAATATTTGCGTACAAAATTTTTTTCATCTTTTCACTTTTTAAGGAAATTTTTGGATAATTTTTTTTTTTACTTTTTATCGATATCATATATCCTTTTTTTCTATCCTGTTTTATAGGATTTTATTTCATTTTAGTTAACTTAATTTTAATTTATTTTACTTGGTTTTATAATTAGTTTCTTTTTTTCTATTTTTTTGCTTTAATTTTTTTATTTTATTTTTCCTTTTTCACTTAAATTTAATTTTATTTTTCTGTTCCATTTTATTTCTCATTTTTTAATTATTGTTTAATTCCTCTTAACTCACACTTCTTTTAACTTTCACGTTTTTGCATTTTTTTTTAGTTTGTGCACAATTTTCACAACTACTTTAGCACTTTTTGTAATCGCTCCAATTTTTAATCCCTTAAATTTTTTCTCTTAAGAATTAACCATTTAACTAACCCATTCAGGAACCTTTTTTTTACATAAATTCCCTCAATTTTTATAAATCTTTTTGAGGTTATGTGGTGCCATTTTATTTTTTGTTGGATTTTTATTTATCTAATTTTTTAATCGTTTTAACACTCGGCACTTTACTTTCAATTTTTAAGTTCTCCTTTTGTAATTTTTTTTTTATTTTTGTGCACAATTTCCAGAATTATTTCAATACTTTTTTTAATCGCTTAAATTTTTAACGCTTTACATTTTTTCTCTTAACAATTAACCATTTAACTAACCCCATCAGCAACTATTTTTTTTACTAAGTACCCTCAATTCACATTTATATAAATCTTTTTGAAATTATGTAGTGCCATTTTTAAGCTCTTTGTAGTGCATTTCTTTCGTAATTTTACTTAACGTTTTTCTTTTAAAATTTTTACATTTTTTCGCGCCTCACTTCAACAATCATAATTAATGCATTAAAAAAACAATTCCAAGCAATCCCCCAAACAAATCAAATTTTAGTTTCAATAGAAGACTAAAAAAATATTCAAAACTTTTTAAAAACTACCGTTATAAGCAACTAAAACACAAAACTCGCTTAAATATTTACGAACACCTTGTAAAAAATTTGTTCGTTCGTTAATTCGTTCGTTCGCTGTTTCGCTCGTTCAAACTTCGTTCAATTGTGTCTCTTATGTGTTGAGAAAAACCGTTTTTTTTTTCTTTTTCCATGTGAGTGTGTACTTTTACGTTTGAATTCTTTCCACCTTATTTGCCGTTAATTTAGCAATTTATCGTTATTTATTTAAGTAGTTCAATTACATTCCTAAATATATGTCAATATGTTTTTAGCGCAAGTTCCATAGTTTTTTTTAATTTATTCGACTGCTTGTTAATTATATTTTTCATTACCGTTCGCTACATAAATACATATGTACATATATAAGTAAATATTTCGTACTCTCTTAAAAATATTTCAAATACTTAATTGTAATCTACTACACCAAGTATTTTTCAATATCTAGTAGCCACCACTTCTACTTAAATCTGTGTGCTAACTCTCTCCTTTTTCTCGCTCTCTTTTCCCACAGCCGTTCGGCCGTAATACGCGGTCGCGTTGTCACCTCACTCGGCATGGGCTTGGTGGGTGTGCGCGTTTCCACCACAACACTCCTCGAAGGCTTCACGCTCACCCGTGATGATGGTTGGTTCGATTTGATGGTAAATGGCGGTGGAGCTGTGACTCTCCAATTCGGCCGCTCGCCCTTCCGTCCACAGTCGCGCATCGTACAAGTGCCCTGGAATGAGGTGGTCATCATTGATGTGGTGGTGATGTCCATGTCGGAGGAGAAGAATGTGGTGCCTATACCACACACGTGCTTCTCACACGACTACGATCTCATGAAACCGGTTGTCTTGGCCTCGTGGAAGCATGGCTTCCAAGGTGCTTGCCCGGATCGCTCTGCCATCTTGGCTGAATCGCAGGTGATACAGGAGTCGCTGCAGATTCCCGGCACGGGCTTGAATTTGGTGTATCATTCGTCGCGCGCCGCTGGCTACCTTTCGACAATAAAGCTGCAGCTGACCCCTGAAACCATACCTGAAACGCTTCACTTAATTCATCTGCGCATAACAATCGAGGGCATTTTGTTCGAACGCGTTTTCGAAGCTGATCCGGGCATTAAATTCACTTATGCTTGGAATCGCTTAAACATCTATAGGCAGCGTGTATATGGTGTGACAACGGCAGTAGTAAAAGTTGGCTATCAATACACCGATTGCAAGGACATCATCTGGGATATACAAACCACCAAGTTGTCTGGTCACGACATGTCCATATCCGAGGTGGGTGGTTGGAATTTGGACATTCATCACCGCTACAACTTCCACGAAGGTATCCTACAAAAGGGCGATGGTTCTAATATCTACTTAAAGAACAAACCACGTGTCATACTCACCACAATGGGTGATGGCCATCAGCGGCCGCTCGAGTGCAACGATTGCGAAGGTTTAGCTTACAAGCAACGCCTGCTGGCACCGGTCGCTTTAGCTTCCTCACCTGATGGTAGCCTCTATGTTGGCGACTTCAACTACATACGCCGCATCATGACTGATGGTAGCATACGCACTGTCGTCAAGTTGAATGCAACGCGCGTTTCCTATCGCTATCACATGGCGCTTAGTCCACTCGACGGCACGCTCTACATTTCCGACCCAGAGTCCCATCAAATCATACGCGTACGCGACACCAACGACTATTCGCAACCTGAAAAGAACTGGGAACCCATTGTCGGCTCGGGCGAACGTTGTCTGCCGGGTGATGAGGCGCATTGTGGTGATGGCGCGCTGGCTAAGGATGCAAAGCTGGCCTATCCCAAGGGCATCGCCATATCCAGCGACAACATACTCTACTTCGCCGATGGCACAAACATACGTATGGTGGATCGTGATGGCATAGTCACCACGCTGATTGGCAATCACATGCACAAGTCACACTGGAAACCCATTCCCTGCGAGGGCACACTGAAGCTGGAGGAGATGCATTTGCGTTGGCCCACCGAGCTGGCCGTGAGTCCATTGGACAATACGCTCCACATCATCGATGACCACATGATCTTACGCATGACTCCCGATGGACGTGTGCGCGTCATATCCGGCCGGCCGCTGCACTGCGCCACTACCTCTACCGTCTACGACTCCGATTTAGCAACACACGCCACACTCGTCATGCCTCAGTCGATTTCATTCGGGCCCATGGGCGAGCTGTATGTGGCGGAGAGCGACTCGCAGCGTATTAATCGCGTGCGTGTAATCGGTACGGATGGGCGTATTGCTCCGTTCGCTGGCGCTGAATCGAAATGCAATTGTTTGGAACGCGGCTGCGACTGCTTCGAGGCCGAACACTTCCTTGCGACAAGCGCCAAATTTAACACAATCGCTGCGCTCTCAGTCACTCCCGACGGGCACGTGCACATCGCCGATCAAGCAAACTATCGCATACGCTCTGTTATGTCCAGCATTCCTGAGGCGAGCACGTCACGAGAGTATGAGATCTATGCACCTGACATGCAGGAAATTTACATCTTTAACCGCTTCGGTCAGCATGTCTCCACGAAGAACATTCTAACTGGTGAAACCACCTACGTCTTCACATACAATGTCAACACCTCCAATGGCAAACTGAGCACTGTGACCGATGCGGCAGGCAATAAGGTTTTCCTTCTGCGTGACTACACCTCACAGGTGAACTCCATCGAAAATACCAAGGGTCAGAAATGCCGCCTACGCATGACACGCATGAAGATGCTCCACGAACTTAGCACACCAGATAACTACAACGTGACTTTCGAGTACCACGGCCCAACTGGCTTGCTAAAAACTAAACTTGACTCCACTGGCCGCTCCTATGTCTACAACTACGATGAATTTGGGCGCCTCACTTCGGCGGTCACACCCACCGGTCGCGTCATTGACTTGGTATTCGATCTGAGCGTTAAAGGTGCACAAGTGAAGATATCCGAGAATGCGCAAAAGGAGCAGTCGATGCTGATACAAGGCTCCACAGTCATGGTGCGCAATGGTGCTGCCGAATCGAAGACGTCGGTTGAGATGGATGGCTCCATGACAAGTCTGACGCCATGGGGTCATACCGTGCAGGTGGAGGTGGTGCCATACGCCATATTGGCTGAAATCAACCCAGTAATTGGCGAGAGCTATCCAGTTCCTGCCAAACAACGTACGGAAATCGCTGGCGATCTGGCTAATCGTTTTGAGTGGCGTTACTTTGTGCGCCGTATACAGCAAGGCAAGCAAGGCAAAGGACCGCGTCCAGTCTCACAGGTGGGACGTAAGCTACGCGTCAACGGCGACAATGTGCTCACACTCGAATATGACCGCGATACGCAGTCAGTTGTGGTGTTGGTGGATGATAAGCAAGAACTTTTGAACGTGACCTACGACCGTACTGCACGTCCAGTGAGCTTCCGTCCACAATCAGGCGACTATGCTGATGTCGATTTAGAGTATGACCGCTTTGGTCGATTGGTTAGCTGGAAGTGGGGTGTGCTGCAGGAAGCATACACCTTTGATCGTAACGGACGGCTGAATGAAATCAAGTACGGCGATGGTTCGTCTATGGTTTATGCCTTCAAAGACATGTTCGGTTCGCTGCCATTGAAGGTGACCACACCACGGCGCTCGGACTATCTACTACAGTACGACGACGCTGGTGCACTGCAAAGCTTGACCACGCCACGAGGCCACATACATGCATTCTCCCTGCAGACGTCACTCGGCTTTTTCAAGTATCAATACTTCTCGCCGATCAATCGCCATCCCTTCGAAATACTTTACAACGATGAGGGGCAAATTCTGGCGAAGATACATCCACATCAATCTGGTAAAGTGGCGTTTGTTCACGACTCCGCTGGCCGTTTGGAAACTATTTTAGCTGGGCTTTCGAGCACGCATTACACCTATCAAGACACCACAAGCCTTATTAAATCGGTTGAGGTGCAAGAGCCCGGATTTGAGCTGCGCCGCGAATTCAAATATCACGCTGGCATTCTGAAGGATGAAAAGGTACGTTTCGGCTCGAAGAACTCACTAGCCTCTGCACATTACAAGTACTCGTATGATGGTAATGCGCGCATGAGTGGCATTGAGATGTCCATTGACGACAAGGAGGTGCCCACAGCGCGCTATAAGTACAGCCAGAACTTGGGTCAGTTGGAAGTGGTGCAGGATCTGAAGATAACACGCAATGCCTTCAATCGCACCGTCATCCAAGACTCCGCAAAGCAATTTTTCACCATCATCGATTACGATCAACATGGCCGCGCTAAGAGTGTGCTCATGAACATTAAGAGCTTCGATGTCTTCCGTCTCGAGTTGGACTACGATCTACGCAATCGCATCAAATCACAAAAGACGACCTTGGGCCGATCCACGTCTTTCGACAAAATCAATTACAACGCTGATGGGCACGTAATTGAAGTACTCGGCACCAACAACTGGAAGTACTTGTACGATGAGAACGGCAACACTGTAGGCATAGTGGATCAAGGCGAGAAAATCAATCTCGGCTACGACATTGGTGACCGCGTTATACAAGTCGGTGAAATCGAGTTTAATAACTACGATGCGCGTGGCTTTGTAGTGCGTCGTGGTGAACAGAAATACCGTTACAATAACCGCGGTCAGCTGATACATGCCTTTGAAAGAGATCGCTTCCAATCGTGGTACTATTATGACGACCGCAGTCGCTTGATCGCTTGGCACGACAGCAAAGGCAACGTAACACAATACTACTATGCCAATCCGAAGACACCAAAGCTCCTGACGCATGTACACTTCCCCAAAGTCGGTAAGACTTTACGCTTCTTCTACGATGACCGCGATATGTTAATTGTAGTCGAGAACGGCGATCAGCGCTACTACGTGGCCACCGATCAAAATGGCTCACCACTAGCATTCTTCGACCCAAATGGCAGCATCATAAAAGATGTGAGACGCACGCCATTTGGACGCATCATCAAGGATACGAATCCAGACTTGTTCATACCCATTGACTTCCATGGTGGTCTGCTGGATCCCAACACAAAACTGGTATACACCGAGGGACGTCACTATGATCCCACAGTTGGTCAGTGGATGACACCCAAGTGGGAGACACTGGCCACTAAGATGTCCAACCCAACCGATGTCTTCATTTACCGCTACCACAACAACGACCCCGTAAACCCCAACAAGCCGCAGAACTACATGATCGACTTGGAGTCGTGGCTGCAACTCTTCGGCTATGACTTGCGCAACATGCAGAGCTCCAAGTATACAAAAGAAGCGCAATATGTGCCACAAGTATCCATAAAATCCAACACCCTAGCGCCCGAGTTCGGCGTCATTTCCGGCCTTGAATGCATAGTGGAGAAAACCAACGAAAAGTTCAGCGACTTTGATTTCGTGCCGAAGCCGCTGCTGAAGATGGAACCGAAAATGCGCAATCTGCTGCCACGCATCAGCTACCGCCGTGGCGTGTTCGGTGAGGGTGTGCTGCTCTCGCGCATAGGCGGACGCGCACTTGTCAGCGTTGTCGATGGTTCGAACAGCGTGGTGCAAGATGTGGTCTCATCCGTCTTCAACAATTCCTACTTCCTTGACCTGCACTTCAGTATACACGATCAAGATGTATTCTACTTTGTCAAGGACAATGTTCTCAAATTGCGCGACGACAACGAAGAACTGCGCCGGCTCGGTGGCATGTTCAACATATCAACACACGAGGTGACCGATCATGGTGGCGCTGCAGCAAAGGAATTGCGGCTGCATGGGCCCGATGCGGTGGTGATTATCAAGTATGGTGTCGATCCAGATCAGGAGCGACATCGCATACTCAAGCACGCGCACAAGCGCGCAGTCGAACGGGCGTGGGAGCTAGAGAAACAGCTGGTTGCTGCCGGTTTCCAGGGACGTGGCGACTGGACCGAAGAGGAGAAAGAAGAGCTGGTGTCGCACGGTGATGTCGATGGCTGGATTGGCATCGACATACACAGCATACATAAGTACCCACAACTAGCCGACGATCCAGGCAATGTGGCGTTCCAGCGCGATGCAAAACGCAAGCGAAGAAAGATCGGCAATGGACATCGTACGGCGAAAGCGCGTCACCAACAATTACGTGTAATGGATTTGAGTGCGTGAGTACGCGATACGAGTGACAACAAGGCGAACAAATGGAGTAGTGAGGAGATAACTGTGACAAAAATGAGTGTTGCTGCGGAGCGCGAGCTATTAGAGAATGGTGTGGGGGAGGAGTTTGGGCATATGTTCAGTGATGATTACGCATTTAACGACGATTGGGATATAGGCACAACTACAAACGAAATGCAAACCGATAAAACCACACTGGATCTGGACAACGACAGCAATAGCAGTGGCAGTAGTGATAGCGATGACGATGGCGACGACGACGACGTGCAGCCGATACACGAACGTGGTCAACACGATTTAAACGAAATTAATGCTAGTGATGATGAAGACTACAACTACCAAGACGAATACTACTACAATAACAACAAGTACGATCAGCACTATTATCGCAGCAAAAGCAGCAAAGGCACAGAGACAGACGACTTATATTATTAGCGATACCTACCAACCAAGCAACCAACAAATACTATTACCATTTAGAAATGGGAAAAGCAAATTAAAATTAAAAACTTAGTGGGTATTACTTAGAAAAGCATATGTGTGAGTACGAGTAAAATACAATACTAAGTGTAGGTATGTATGTGAAAAAGAATCAATACACCACTAGATACACAATGAATATTGAAATTCAATTGAAAATCGAACGTAAAGAGCAAAATTGTAAAAACAAAGGATAGCAAGGAACATGCAGTTGAGTAATCGAAAACTAAATCATTTAGCATAAAACAATAAAAGTACTTAGCTTCTAGGAGCTAAGCGAAGTTGAAAGATATTAAGATGAGAAAAATTTTTTAGAAACAGCTAAAGCGTGCGGAAAAAAAGCAAAATGGGGACGGTTAGAGATCACAAATCGGAAACCAGAAATTCGAAGTCCGCAGCAAAAAGAAATCAACATAGAAAGGCAGTAGGCTGACACGGCACTCGAATGTTTTTTTTTTTTTTTTGTTTGAGGTTGTATACTATGCCATTTGGCGTGCAATTATTAAGAAAGAACATATTTAATTTTTGTATAAAGTAAAACAAATCAAGGCGGTTCATTGAGCCATGTAACTAAAAGGTTAAGTGGTAAATGTGACGGTGCAGTAATGACTAGCAAATTAAGTATTATATACATACACACATACAATAGGCAAAAACACTTCGAGAGGAGGAATAAAAACGAAAATGAAAAAACTTAGTGTAACTGAATGTTTTTGTATAATTGCAGAGTTAAGAAAACAAAACGAAAGAAAAATAAGTATTTGGTGCAAAATAGAAAGAAAAGTAGGCTAAAAATGTTAAAAAGCAGGCATAGATTAGTGAAATTTTATAATTTATTTGCTGGCAGATGAAATTTCTCGCAACGAATCACAATTAATTATTTTAAGCTTATTTTTTCGGTTTTTAAACTTTTCTTTATAATTCTTGCCAAAATATTTAAACTTGAAGTTTTTATTTCAAAATTCTTCTCAGTAAAGCTAACTTTTCGGTTTCTACTTTCTTCTTTATAATAGTTACGAAAAATATTAAAACTGTATGTTTTCGTTCTATGAAAAATGCAATAGTTTTAAATATTTTTTTTACATTTATTATTCTAAACATTTTTTTCCGTCATTTGGACTGCTTAAAATATGCACTTATACTCACCACTCGTTTAGAACTGCCAAACGCATTTACTATGACATTAAAACTCCTGATTTCATAAATACTCATTTTGCAATTAAAATATAAAATTTGTATTTAATTTTCATTCCAAACGAAAGCTTTTCTTAAATTATAGTAATTCCTTTTCTCTCGTTCTTCCCAAACCAAAACAAAGTCATTTATTAAATTTTCAACACTTATTTCCAGAATTCGCACACAGTGGCCCCCAAACTGTCCGCCAAAAACTCGTGAAAATTTACGCGTTAATTTACGTATTGCCCACCCGCTTTCTTTTACCCACAACTTCGAAGTAATTTCCAGAATACTCGCAAAGAAGCTGAATGACACTGAAAAGCAAAACATTTTTTCAAAAATTGTGATATACATACAAACTATTTTTCAAATCCAAACTCTCGTCTCGAATATTTTATATTTTCACTATTTTTAGTTGAAAACAATAAAAATTATACAAGCGGTATTAGAAATTTCGTCACTTAAAATCGCTTGACATTTTTTATATTACTCTGCAATTGTAAAGGCGTTAACATAAGATATTGATTACAAAAATAATGTAAAAGAGTATATTTAATCGTCTACAAATGCCATTTATACTTTTAATATTTTAATGTGTACACGTTTTTTAAGTTAATAGTATTGAGTTATAATATTTTTAATTTTAATTTTTTATACAAAGTTTTTCAAGTGTATGAGACCCTTAATTTTTTTTTGAAATTTCGTATGTCATGCAAGTCTTCTATCAAGCGTATTTAGTGTTTAAATTTGTAAATTATTTTAATTTTTATCTATATTTTACTGTTATAATTCTCATGAAAAATAGTTGTTTAATACACTTGAAAAATGTAGTTTAAAAAATGTATAACTTTTTGCTTTAAATTTAGTATTAATAAATAATTTGAATGCAAAAAATTCTGTTAAATGTTTGCGTTCTTCTTTCATTGCAAATAAAAAATTAAAAAATTGTTGAAAATTTCAAATTTTTCAAGAGCTTATCGTACTATATTTTTTAACCCATAAAAGCTTTTTACTTAATATATTGTTTTCCCATTTCCTCCTAATAGCTCTATTCATAGCCATTAGGAGGGTAAAAATGGTCAATATTTGGGAATCTGAGAAAATAATAAAATTTAAAGCTTGAACTCCTTACTGAAGCTTAAAAGGTATACAAACGATCTTGTTGAAAAAGAGCTTTGAAAGAGATAAAAGAATTATTGGCCCGAGAAAGCTTTAACACTGGGGTAGTATTTGTTGTTTGTACAGAAGCTTACAACACGATATCTTTCCAAATTCTCTCACATTTTTCAAAAGATATATTTTTTTAATTAGTGAACTGTAAGAGAATTCTTATGATGGACAAGAAAAAAAAAGATAAATAATAAAACTGTATAAATTTTCAACTTAAACTGGGAGCTCTGCTTTTTATTTTCTTTTGCAAACGACAAAGTACTACTTAAAAAACGGTGAATATACATACATAAATACATATATCTACACCCCAAAGTTCGAAAACCATCTTTATTTTGTTAAATCTTCAAAAAATGCAACTGATTTCATGCAAAGTTATTAAACTCAAACATAAAATATTTTTTTTTTTAATTTTCAGACAAAAGGGAAAAGCGAGATAAAGTGAAAGCTTCCATATACATAGTGAAAGCTGCCGTTCAAAGTAAAAGCTTAGCAACCTCAGCCGCCTGAGGAGCTTATATTAATTGGCTTCACTGTTACTTTTAAATATGTCTACATAGGCACGTTATATTTTGGAATGTATTTACGTCATCCTTTGCCAAGTTTGGTTTGGAGATAAGCCAGGTTTGGCATTCAGTGTCTTCTTTTTTTTAATGTAGAAACTCTAGGTTCACTCAGAAACAATCTATATCCCAAGTATGAAGGGGATTAGGTATTTTCGCTGGCTCATGCCGGCTTTTGGGACATTTAAAAAAAATTCGAAAGCTTCTTTCCGTCAAGTAAATTCTCGTAACGGTCTCATAGAAATGTAAAAGCATAACATTCGTTAGGAATGTATATTTATTGAAAGCCCAAACAACTCTTTGCTTTAGGTCTACGTGAAAGCTTCCCCGCACATGTGAATGCTCAAAAGCTATCGCCTACCTAACAAACACTCTTTAAATTCACCTTTAATCCTATACTCATCGTACTGAGTCTACTTACTCAACTTGGAACTTTATACTCTTATTCTATCTACACAAATACTATATTCTCAACGATTTATGATTAGCATTAACGCATTTTTTTATTAACTATTATCAACATGATGTGTATATTAATTATTGCAATGTGTAAATTTTGAATTGAGAGCATTATTAATATTATTGCCAATTATTATTGACTATTGATTAATCGCATCTCTAGTGTTATCCAATTAAGGAATTATTAGGAATAGAATAAATACGTTTAAGCTACGATAAGGACACCTTGTAAAATAGACATACACCCCCAATATCCTTAATTACTGTTAGGTGCTAAGTGAACAGGTTAAAAGCATAAATTGAAGACAGTTGGCGCGTGGAAGTAAAAGCTTAACAAGCTAAATAAAAACTTAGTTGCAGTAAATTGCCGAAATTCGTATGTAAACAAGAAGGTATAATAAAACTGCTATGTAAAATGCATAGTAAATAACTAATGTGTTAGTAATTTTAGTTTAAAAAAATATGGAAACAAAAGATGATTTACGAATAGCAAGGTAAAAGCATATTTTTTAAGCAAAAGACATGGAAGAAGTAAGAGTTGCATTGCAAGCCTGCGCAGAATGGAGAAAATCAAAATGAGATACACTCAATGCTTTTCGTAAAACTAAATATGTGACCGTATAGCTTGCGAAGAGGGTATCCGATACCCGACGACAACACTACACTGGCATAAGTTAGCTACGTTTGAAAACACAGTAAATAGACGCAAGTTGAAAATGGAAAATGTAGGCATGAGTAATGTAAATTTAAAATAAATTTGTAGATTAAATAATATCACAAGAAACAAAGTGAAAAATTGTATATTTAAGCAAAAACTGTACTGTAAAAATTGCAATAACTTCAAAATAAAAATCTTAAAAAATAAGCCAATTTAAATTAAGCAAAATGCGTAAAAGAAAAAATGCAAAAAATATACCAAAATTATGACTGATACAAGGAAAATCGAAAAAGAGAAATCTCAGAAAATTTATGTAACTTTAATGCAAAATGCAAGCATGACATACAATAAACACACACACATAACAAACATACTTATAAAAAGAAAGCAAATTTTGAAAGAGAAGATAACTTAACAAAATTGTGAACAATTTGCAAAATAAAGAAAAAAAAATCATTTCACGCAGCCACGAACAAGATGCAAATTGTATGTGAAAAAATAGCTTA